CTTTTTACTAGCCCTTCTTTCCCTGCTCCTTATGCAATGCTCCTCTCGTGTGTTCCTCCTCCATCCTTCGTCTCCTTCCTATTCTAGTTCCACGCCTTCCTTTTACCACTATGTATATACTTACTTCCTCATTGGTTCTTCCACTGTATTATTCGTTCGTGCTGCTTATACGTAGGTAGATGTATACCCATACGTGTACAAACTAACGGATCGGCTTGCAATGGATTGTTCCTGTGTAGGTAATACATTAATGTGAATATTTTTTCACGCTCGAGAGCAGTATATGCAGCATGACGTCAATAATGATTATGAATAAATTTTTTCTCTTTTTTTTTTTTTTTTCTTAATAGTTTAGTTGTTAGTGTAGGGATACAGAGTCTAAGGATATAATTAGTATTTACAAAGACAAGTATATATGTATGTCTGTTTTTTTTTTTTTTTTCATTTATTTTAAAAATAAATGTTTGTAATAAATCAAAAACAATCGATTACAATGTATACTTAGTTGTAACGATAACTCTATACTTATTTGTCTATAAGTTACAAGAAGAACAAAAAAAAGGAAAAAAAAAATTGGAATATGAATGAATCTGAAATTACTTGGTGCAGGTGTATATATATAATATTATAATACTATGATTTCATTTATTGCTTGAGATAGAGGCGACAAAAATTACTGTCTATCATTACAAACGCAATGTGTGGGTACGTGTCTATGTGTCTGTATAATTATACCTGATACACGTGCGTGTACATGTATGTATTCTGTGTCTGGCTAATTAATCCGAAAGTTCGGACGATGCCCTTGAATTGATTTTTTTTTTTTTTTTTTTTTTTTTTTTTTTTTTTTTTTTTTTTTTTTTTTTTTTCATTTTAACTTTTTATTTTGGCGAAAAGGCAAAAAGCTACAAGGCACAGGTGAAATTATCAAACGCGTCTCATCTAAAATCTCGCACCAACATCATCTCGAAAAAATTCGCTCTCTCACTGATAATCAGCAACTTTTTATTTTTTTCTTTTTTTTAATCCTCTTACAGCGCACGTGTTGCGTGGCAACGACCGTATCAAGATGCCTGACGACATTACAATTTCATCGCTCGTCTCGCGGTTTATTTTTTCACACTACTCTCACCGAATTTTGTTTTACTGCATTTAATAATTATTATTTTTCTGTTACAAGTGTGAAGTACAAACGGCATATAATATAAGAATGACTAGATCGACTGCGCGCATCTGTAACATTATTTATTTGTGAATCGGAATTATGACTAGCTGTATTTATTGCTGATACTTTCGACTACGGCAGAAGCTCGATCATTAGTTTTGAATAACTTTTTTTTTGTCACTTTGACTAGTTAAACATTTTTACCTGAGTATATAAGCGCCGCATATGTATAGATTGCAGTATCGTTAATGGTAGTTTGTTGGTTTATTTTTCTTTTTTTATCAGTCTTCTGCTGCTACTGATTTTGTTAAACGTAATTTGCTTATTTTACACGCGTAACACGCCAATCAATTTTCTGGGGCATCGAAATTCACGCTGTGATACAACTATTACATATAACTAATTCAAATCGCTAATGTAGCATTTAAACGCGCAAAATTTTATGTACAAGTGATCAAACTTTTTTGTTATATTTTTTTCTTAAAAATATCATAAAAGTATACGCTTACGGAGTAAGTATACTTTGAAGTTGAAAAGATAAAGATATTTTCGATTATTCATAATCGTCGGGACAATTTTACTAATACACTGCTCTTTGTAAGTTTTGGAAAAGTTTTTTTGCGTATGCTCTATAATTGACGTTCAAGTCTGGCCTACGAAAATAGCGAGTAATGAATTCGACGCCTTGGAAAACTGACCGTGAGTCGCGTAAGTATGTGTACCACGTACTTCTTCTTAACACGATATGCGTCGGCGGCCAATCGTTTTTCACGTTACACCCTTTGGTAAATAGTTACTTGCATTTGTCTCTTTTTATATTATCTATATAAGTATTTTTTTTTTTTTAACATAATCACGCGCGTGCCAATATTGCATATGTATACAGTAAAAGTGCGTAAGTAAGGAAAATATGAGTCGAGAGAGCGAACTCCTCAAATTGAATTACACATTATCATTCCTCGCAACGAACAACGAAGAAGTAGGTATATCATGTGTGTACGAGTGTGAATATAAGTACATGCTGGCGTACGTAGAAGAAGAACATGAAAAAAGAGCAATGGTACGAGAAAAAAAAACGGAAGGAAAGAAACGAAACAACCGATTAAACACGTGGATATTTTTTTTTTTTTTTTTTTATGTAGGTAAGTATGTGTACAAATGCGTTCGTATACTTTGTCGGCATCGAAAAAAACTTTACACATTGGTATGTTGAAAATGTTCATACTTAGCTTTGACGCTTGAAATGTTACATTTTACGTGCTACGTGTACTCTGTCTCCTTTTATTTTTTTATAATACATTCGCTACAAAGAGGATACCACCTTGCGACATTTAGATACATGTTTTTTTTTGCCGTCATTGGTGGGTGTATGCGTTTTTAATTTTAATTTTTATTCTATTGAACGTTTTTTTACTAAATACTCATATAGATAATTTTTAAACATCGTACATTGGTATATATTGGACGATACATTTTTAAATTATTTTTTTTTTTCCTCGTCGAACAAACCGCTTTTGGCCCCCTTTACGCGAACCCCGGGACTATGACGCGTTGATAATCGCCGTGGGCGCGGAAGACTCGGAGAACGAGTTATTTTTGGTCCTCCAAACCGTATGCGCTATGGCTTTGCAAACGAGACGAGAAACAAAAAAAAAAAAAAAAAAAAAAAAACGAAAATTATAAATTAAGAGAAGAACGCGGTATACAAAACAAAGTATTGTCTTCGAGCAGCCATACAGCGATTCGCTGGCGATTCGTTTGAATTTCGCTTCTCTCGAGTTAAAAATAAAAAATAAAATTTCTACTTTGTTCAGTACTGATCAGTAAAAGTGATCAAAGTATGTACATCTTTATGACAAATAAATTTCTAAGAGTAATTTTTTTCCACAACAAAATGTATTCATGCCTATACAACGTTGTAATTTTTTCAGTAACATTATATATGAGATAAAGAGCAAAGTAGAAAAATTGAAAAAAAAAAAAAAAAAAAAAACGCCAGCGGGAAATATTGGATTCGCGACCACATTACACTCTCGTCTCGCATCACATAGTTATCTCTCATTCGATTACAATGCATAACTTCTTACTCTAGAGAAAAAAAAAAAAAAAAAAAATATTGCCACAATAATGTACAACTTAGACGTATAGTATATACGGAAGGGCCGAGGCAGTGAACTCGCCGCTACTAATTTGTTCTCTCTCTTATTTTTCCATGCGAGTATACATATTTATAATTATTCGTCGTGGTGGCGACAGCAACCTCCTTCGCGACGGTATACACTATTATTTTATTTCCTCCAGAGATATACGCACAAACCCGTTCTTCACTCACATCCTTTCACAGTGGGAATTTTTATTTATTTTTCTTTCCCTTTGTCACGTTTTGTTTTACATTATTGCTTTGGCACTGCGACAACCGCGCTGGCTTACTCTCTTGCTTTCTTTTCTCCACTTACAATGTATCAATCGTTTACTTTGGAGTCGCGTATCGACGACGCGCTCGAAGGAGGGCAAGCACAGTAAGGGCGCATCAAGCCTTGCTTTTCACGCATTTTACATTTTCGTTAATCATTTACATCAGGTATATTGTCGCGTTCTTTGGCATTTTTTTTTTTTTCTTTTTTTTTACGTATTTCCTGCGATTAATGCGTGTCGGAGTGGTAGAGTTGGACAGCTCGAGGGATTCAGGATATGATTTTCGTCGACGCCTGCTTTATACTTTTTATACTACATAAATATGAATTTACATTTTTTTTCCCTACTATATTATATATATATATATTCTTAATTTATTTTTTAGATTTTTTTTCATTCGAGTATAATTTTTCCTCTTTTTTATTTTTCAACGTTACTTTTATCGACCGCCTCGGAGTCACAATCGCGTACACGATACAATTACAAACTATATATGCTGCGTGCATATCACTATTGCTTGTTCGTTCGACACGAGAAACGATTAATTTGTCACATAGACATAAACTACCTCGTCATAATTTTACACAAGTCTACGATCATGATTATAAATAATAATTTGGATGTCAAGACTCTTCGTAAAACTAAGCTCGTTTTTTGACGTACGTACGCGTATACAAAAATACGATTCGTTAGGAAAAATCTAATAAAAATCGTACAATAAGGAATATCGTTTTTTTTTTTTTTTCTACTACAATAAATACATAATAGACGTGTCGATGGTACACATTGTAATTACACGTAATTCCTCCTATTCGACGTTGCATCGTTAATCCTATACAGTAGTTATTGTTTAGTATACCGTACGCTATTGATAACAATATTCTACGCGCATCCTCGACCCGACCCTTAACAGGCAACAACTACGGAAGCATCGTTATTTTCCCTTTCGCGCCGTAAAATCCAATTGCGATCGCCACCATCACTCATGTATATACGATGTAAGCGGAAAGGAGAAAGAAAAAAAGTTACTCCCGAATCGAGCGAGTCCCTCCTCTGCCACCGAGCCACGCCGAAGAACACACCCGTAGTTTTCGAGGAAAAAGCGAAAAAAAAAAAAAAAAAAGAAAAAAAAAAGAAAAAATGCACCCTCTCCATCATGTTACAGTACGCAAAGAGTCTCCGTACGTGTATAGGCGCACACTCGCTTACACATATCACACTGCACGAGCCAAAGTCCGAGTGGCGTGGTCCAACGAGCCTCTTCTACGGGAAGACGCGCGCGCTCTGTTCCGGAGATCCGCAGGTGTCCCAAAGCTGCGGGCCACCGGGGTAGGACGGCCCAACGTCGGGACAACTCGGCGACTGCTCCGGCTCGCGATGGTCCGGTCGTCATCCCCGATGATGGAACAAAGAGCGGAAACGCCTGCCGGATCGAGAAGGGACGAGCGGCGCGTCTCTGCCAGCGTCTCTCTCCCTGTATACACACATCATAATATTGTATAGCTCATAATTATTATCTCCCTTACTTATGCGTGCATGATCAAGGCATATAACATACGCTCGTGAGCTAAGTGTATATAATGTGCGATGAGCGAGTGTATAATTGTGTTGTGCGTGTACAATGTGCATCGGGTCACAAGAAACAAGCCATTGACGTTTGATTAGAGGAGGAGGGGGGGAGAGATCGGTACACTTGATGGTTGTTGGGTATAAGCTGCGTTACTTATCTGTCGCGCCGATCTTACACACCGGTAAGTATATATACACGATCTACGGGTGCAGAGTTGCTTAACACACACGCAAATAATTACATATGTATATACGTATGCCGTGTAAACCAAGTTGCGTCCTAATGGAGTCGTCGAGAGTCGAGGGGTATATATTATACTGCACGTAACAGGCCATCGTTGATAATCAGATACGGAACTCTGATGTTTAATCGAAGGTCGTGCAACGATGTGAATGAATGAGGAAACTGCAACGCGGACGATGGGCATATTTATACATACATATACTTGTACGGGACGAATTTCTACAAGCGATTATCAGTTGAAATTATGCTTTGCCGCGCGGGTACGGACTCACGAATTGTAAAACGGTGTATATGCATAATATACCTATATACAATAAGCGATGCGGATCGGTTAATTAGGAGAGCAAGTATAGAGGGACAGGCTGCATCGCGCGCGTCAATTTTAAGAGGCTAACGTTGTATCTGTCGCCCGCGTTTGCTTATTAATTAACGAGTAGAGTAGAAAAGCTTGTAGCCTTTTCCCTTGGCTCTTTCTCTCTGCGCGCGCTTGCATGCAAGTATGTAAGGAGCGCGGGTCGATGAATCGATGCGTGGAAAAAGTTTCGCTCGACGGACGGCTCCTTTTCTTTATTTTCCGTCCCGCGTACGACGAACTTTCAAACTCGTTCTTTTCTCCCTCCTTGGATGAGAAGAGATTCGGCGTGTAGGAAAATCGCCAAGAAGGAGGGGCGATGACTCCATTTATAAAAAAGTTTTTTTTTTTTTTTCGCAAATCGGTACGGTGATCGGAAGTAAAAATGATCCTCTGTTTTTCACTCGGCTGGAATGTTTATACTGTATTCTCATGTTACCTTAAAGTTCGCGTTTTCCAATAGAGTACAACATTTTATTCGCGGATACACCGCGCGTGTATCCATGTAATGTGCCCTCGGTGCATTTATGGGGCTGCAAGCCACCACCGAGTAGGTATATATATATGCAGCATTAAACATCAAATAAGATAGCATCGAGAAAATCCCCCGGTAATTCCGGCAGAGAGAAAAAAAAAAAAAAAGGGAAATTCCTCATTGCTCGCAAAATCAAAAGCACGATGTTAAAAATGTACAACTTATTCCTCGTGGATTCAACAAGGCGCGCGGACAACGCGAGGGTAATCGTTCGGTGTACATGCAGAGCGGATGCTGCGGCCCCTCCTCTGCCCCTCGGAAAAAAAGCTCACTTATCGCGTGATGGATGTCTTATACCCCCCTCCTGTCACCTCGTGGGTTTGATATTAGCTCGTTACCCGTTGCTCGGCTGCATGAGAGATAAAGGCCCGGCTCCCTCACAGCGTTTTAAATTCTAATTTTAATTGTGCGAGAGCCGGCTCTGTTTGCACTCACTCGTTACACGGACCTCCGGCCGCCGCGTTCCTTTGCTCCTTCGAAGGGTCTCTCTCGCTTTTGATCCGTGTGAGTGTTTTGTTTGTTCCTTTAGTCTTACCACCCTTTGTTTTTTCATTTTTTCATTAAGCCCACACATGCGAACGAGGGAAACAAAGAAACGTGGCCTTGGACGGAGTACTCGAGAGGAGGGATTAATTTCATTTCTTTTTTTATGTAATTTCACACAAATGTGTACAAGTATAACGAAAAGTGAATTTCAATCAGTACTTTTGTTCTTGTTTCGCCCGTGGATGTGGACCATCAGAGAGTAGACACGTCTCGGGAAAATCTTCCCCCTCTGCTCCCCTCACAAGTGTTATTTTCCGAGATGCACCCTCGAGAGCTTACAACATAAATACCCACAAACATTATTTTTGGTCTGCACATCAGCCTCTGATTTTAATTGCTCTCTCTCTCTCTCTCTCTCTCTCTCTCTCTCTCTCTCTCTCTCTCTCTCTCTCTGTATTATACTCGTGCAACTTTTGACTTTGAGATCCTTCGCGATGTAATGATATGATGTGCACATGTATGTATGTGGGTATACGAGCGTGTAGCGCTGAAGCTCCGGTCTAATGGGCACAGAAGGGGGTGTCCCTCCCTAATTTGATTTTGCTCCTCCAACATAATAAATATAACCCCGAGCGAGGGCACAAGACGAGATAATGACTTTGCGCTACGGAGCTCACTGTGTGTCTGTATAATATACATAGGTGTATTAAAAGCGTTCGCTACTCATCTCTCTCTCTCTCTCTCTCTCTCTCTCTTGCTCCTCGCGCTCTGCACCTATAATATAATGTAGTAAGTAAGTGTATTACCATCAGCTGCATTGGCGCTCATTATCAAAGTTAAATGAATTTCAAAATTAAACGAAACTTTTACTCGAGAGCGACTCATTACGACCGGGCGGTCTCGTTGGATCTTCCCGTTAATTAATCAACGGGGAACTCAAGACTTTTTTTTGCGCCAATTGATTAAAAAAACAAAAAAAAAAAGATATTTTTTTTCTTCCGCTTTCCAGACTTTGAACATCACCAAAAACGCGTTGCCATGGCAATACATTCTACGAGTCGAATAAATCTATGGTCAGAAAAAAAAAAAAAAAAAAAAAAATTAACTGTAAACGTCGCGAGTACCGTATGAAGCGGCAATTTTTCAAACGTCCCCGAGAAAAGAAACTGGGGGACATTTGTCACGCGCATACGTTGGGGGGGTAGAAACTACTTCCATGCGGCAGCGCTTTCCGGCGGTTAAGGCTCCAACGAGGCGATTGTGTGTATACTCCAAGTATATACAGAAGGAAATGTTGCGTCTGGCTGTATGAATTTGCATCTGCATACGTACGTACTGTACATAGGTACCATTAGCTACCTGCAAGTACGAGGATTTTTTTTTTTTTTTTTTTTCATTTCCTTACTTTCTTTTCATATACGTATAATGATGGACCAGCTAGTGATCTCTCGTCCTTGATATGCCGTACAGCAGTGAATTTCCTGATGACTTCGAATGAAAGTTTAGTGCTATTGGTATACATGGGCCATTTCGTGAAGTATACAATTTTTTTTACTATTGGAAAAACAACGGATCTTTTGATAGTCATCAATTACCCAACATTATGATAATTTTTTCACTTTTACGTTGAAAAAAAAAAATAAAATAAAAAAATAAATATGACGATTACGATAAAACCAAACAAACCGAACCCTTGAACAAACGTAGCGCCTTGGACGTCAAACTCGTCACAAACACCCCAATAGCTGTGCAATGAACGTATTGAAAAAAAAAAAAAAAAAAAAAAACACTGATCCACGGAGCATCAGCCTCCCTTTTTCTTCCTACCACAACTGCCTACAGTTATCCGGCGATTAAGCACGAGTTCGTCGGTCGCGCTCCAGGCACCCTGGACCGCGAACACACGCGAGGGAGACGCTCGTATGGATGGACTTACAGCGGGGGCTGCACCTATTGGAACTGTTGGGCGCAGCGAGTATACACACGTACACGTACCTATATGTAATACATACGTATAGCACACACGGAAGAAAACGCGATAAATCGTGAGGCTGTGTATACAACGGTAGCTGTATCATTGGCGGAAAAGAGGGAAAAAAAGAGCGTGGCGACCCGCCCACGAGACGAAGGAGGTAGCGATCGCATAGGGTATACCATTTATATGTACATGCACAACGCGACCGTTAAACATCGTGTACAGGGTGGGGTGTACAAGCGACCTCCGTTCGGCCACTTTATTTTCGGCTCGTGCATGCAAGGAGGAAAACACCATACAAGTAGTCGATGGGATGCTTTCCTTTTATACACATATATACGCAATTTAGGCACACGCATCAACTATTTTATATCCATGCATGTGCTTCGATCGCTTTCTTTTACTTTTTGTTGCCGCGACAAGCTATTATCATAAACAGAGGTGGGTAAGTGGCGTGGGTGCATGAAATTAAATGTACACAGCGTAAAATTGATGTCCGTGTATGTATATATATATATATATATATATGTAAACGGATGTTTGTGCAAGTGCGAACGTACCGCAATCAGGCCTCCTGCAGCTCGCCCTTGACGCCGGGCACGCTGTGGTGATGCCTCGAGGCCAGCCGATTGGCCAAATCGTGCATGACGTCCCTGTAAATGACGGTGTCGAGGTTCTCGCCCAGCATGTACAGGAGAAACCAATCGCCGACCTTGCTCCGCTTGACTATCGTCTCGACGGCCTCGCGGCGCACCAGCCGAAACCTCAACCGCAGCAGGTAGACCCTCGTCCGAGGCGAGAATATTATTATAATCTGCGACAAACACACGTGGATTATTTATTTCCCATCGACGACTATTGGAACGAGAATTTAGGGGAGACGGGGGTGGGATAGTTTATCCGTTTCATCGAAGACGACACACCCGAGCCCCTTGCCCCAACCCACGGTGGTGGCTTACGCGAGACATACCTATACATTATAGTACGCTCGACAAGACGAGGTGGGTGCATTTAACGAGCTTATATATAATATATTGCGCGCACACTTGTAAAGGCAATCTTGTTAACGAGTCCTCGGGAAGGCCTGACTCAAACGGGGGATCGATGTCCCCGATGGACATGCGTGTGGGTGGAGGTACGGGGGACATGCCGGCGCGTGAAAACGAATGACTTACCCTGTAGATGACGGTGAGCAGGCTGAGCAGGCCGAGAAAGAGGAACCAGAACCAGAGGAACACGTAGATCTTTTCGTTGACGACGTTCAGGGGTAGTATGCACACGGCGTCGTGGCGCTCGACCTCGCCGCTCACCCCGTACTTGTAAAAGGTACACTTGGTCATGCGCGGGAACACGTAGATCATTGGATCGACGCGGTCCTCCTGATCCGATTCGAGGAAGCGCAGCACGTCGATGCCGAAGGTCAGGAAGGCTCCGTCGAAGAACCGATTCATCAGGAACATCTGGCCTGCGATTATCATTTTTTTTTTTTTTTTTTTTCTTTTCTACTACGTGATTTATACATATACATACATATATTAATCACAAATGATGATGATGATGATGATGAAATTAAGGCATTACCAAGATTTAGTACAAACCAGGCACATGCACACACTCTCTCTCTCTCTCTCTCCGCGAGCAAGTGTAGCCGCAGCTTGGGAGTGTGGCTGCCAAAATTCAGACGATAACTCGCCCCTTTTGTACATACTATATTTACCGCCCTTTGTTGTATTACATATATATATATACATATATAAGGTGGGTATACTTTAGCGCAACTACGCCAAAGTGTATATGCACTACCGCATATTTCCTGCCGACTGCATTCACACGGGCGCTTCATTAATGCGGCAGAAAGAAAAAACAAAACTTTTTTTTTTTTTATTATAATCCCCCACTTCGGTGTAACGAAGAGACACGCAGAAGGGGGGGGGGAAAAAAAAGATAATTGACTCGTTTATATTTTTCCAGACGTAAAGAGGCGCGCAAGGTACGTATACCATTATACTGTACAGGCGCGTGGAGAGTACACGTAATAAATATTGTGCATGCCCAGGCTCGATTTTCCCGATCGATAAGGCAGTGGCTCGAAATGAACCCTCGAACCTCTTTGGCCCCCGGTATATACGTGTAAGCGTCACATGCAGATAGAGAGTGAGGGGGGAGGTGGTTATGGGAAAACCCCAAGTTAATTTCCAGTCTCGCGCCCATACGTGAAATACCATATGTGTATATTATACGAAAGAGCGAGATTTATGATGATTGTCGAGTAGGAAAAAGTATCGGGTCGGCGTATGACGAGAAGGAGGAGGAACATGGACACGGGGAGGAGATGTAAATGGTTGTTACGATGCACCCTTGTGATGCAGAATAAAGGACCGATGAAACGAAGGTATGTATGTATTTATAGGTAAAAAAGAGCGTACTAACCGACGACGTTGAGGAAGGCGAGGGTCTCGCAGAGGTAGTACCTGTACGCCCACCAGTTGTGGAAGCGCAGATTCTCCCAGAGATAGTCGAGCAGCATCTTCTTCTTCTGCTTCTTCTCGACCTCGGAGCACAGCCCGATGTCGAGGTCCATCATGAGAGCGTGGATCTTGCCACCCTCCCAGCCCTTCCACAGCCATCGCGGCGTGTAAAACAGGATCGCCTGGAATTTTCGTGCATTCGTTAATATTTATCTCTTTTGTCGTAACCGTTATTACTTTTCTTTTTATTTTCTCATCATACATTATTATTTATCGATTAAGAGTTTGCTGGTGATTTGCTTGCAAACGAGACTTTTTTCACCCATAACGGGCGATCATACCAAACTAATATGGGAACATCCAATTATGGAGGTTTGACTCGATGTAGATTTTGTTTGTTTTCGATGCAATGCCCACATACTAAATTGTATTAATCATCACGGACACCCATATTATGTGGATTCAATGTAGGAACTGAGACCTCAATGAAAACTTTTCACGCGTATATATACTTATGGGGAAACTCGCGAGAGACCCATCTCGAGTCTTTGCGATGGTGATGGATTTTTCCATTAGTATATTCCATAAAACGGATGGTCCCCCTTCGGAGCCAATCCACATATTGAAAAACTCTGCTACATGTATGTACATACACCGCATATACCAAAGAGCGAATAATCCAAACATCGGCTTGGCGGAGTAATGAACGCCCATCATTTATTACCCCGCGCTCGAATCGAATAATTGAATTTTGTCCGTTTTTTTTTTTTTTTAAGCGTATACGCGTTACGTATATGCACATAGAAATCGTACAGGTACGTACGTAGGGCTGCGCAATCAATTTCACCTGGGGGATATAACAAATGCCCCAACTAGCCCCGGTGATTAATAAAAAGCCGGAAAATTACAGTTCATCGGTCAAAGGGATGCACGCGCGTGCACCGAGATTATTCTCAAAGTGCGCGGAATTAAAGAAGTAAAAATAAAATGAAGTGAGTGACTATACCATAGCGCGAAATTCGAATTTATCGTTTCGCACGAAGTACGGCGGAGGGGTTAGAGAGATAGCCCGTTGGATTATTAATAACGCATTCTTAAACGAATTCCCGGGGTTGTATCGCCTGAGAAAGACCGGCATCGCGATAACGAGGAAATATGCCCTTTCTCGCCCCCTTCCGTGTGTGTAAACTTTTTTTTTTTTTTTTCTTTCTCCCCCTTATCATCGTGCCATTCGCACGCGCGTACGCACACGCGGCTCGTTTATTTCATCGCACGGGTCCTGGATAAATCGCGGCAGATGCGCGCTGATCGTATAATTGAAAGTTGCGCGAGCGCGAGGGAAAATGTTTTAATCCCCGTGCAGCGAGAGAGACCCCCAACCTCCTCCTCCTCCTCCTCCTCCTCTGCCGATCGATCTCATTTTCGCGCGTATATAAGTACCCCCAGCGGAGATCGTGTCTCGGATAAGAGTTTTCTTTTCCGCCCGATCGGGAATTTTAATGGTGATTCGCCCGTCCCTTTTTTTTCGCGACTCGGTGGTACGCGTTATCGTTTTTGGGCGATATTAAAATTTCGTTGCATCACACCGGCGATACCGTAATCATGTTCTCGGTACAAGCTCGTAATACGTGACGCATCGGTAAAATAAAAAAAAATAAAAAAAACTGTACACAACCAACGGCGGGGCAGTGACAGCGAGGGTGCAATTTTTCCTCATACGTATACTCATATTATTATATATTTATAAAACACCGGCGCACGCAACGCGTGTGACCTTAGCCGCTGCGGCTTTAATTAAGTTCACGGCCCCGGCGACAACGCATACGACACAACGTTCGTGCACAGCAGAGGGAGAGAGAGGAAGCAGATAAAACGCTCCTTCTCTCCGTGTCCCCAGGGAAAAATGAAGATTGCGAGTTGCGCGGTTGTGGGAATATACACGTGCACTGCGTGTTATATAATTGCCACAGGAGATTGCCTTATCTAAAATGGTTATTATTATTGGGCGCGTCTCCCGCATTTTTCCAACGAGCTATAGCCACCTGATAAAGGGGCCTTTTTCGATGGAAAGTCACCAAAAGGCACTCTTGCTCCGCGTTTATTTTGTCAACGATGTCCCAACTCTCGTGACGTGCTAAAAACGCGAGAGATTAATTAATTACAGATGTGCGTACATGTATGCATGCTTCGATATCATCGAGAGTCTTTCTGGCAGGCCTCGCGTGTACGCGCAGGTGTCGCAATTTCTGGCACTCATCGTCGGTAGTGTAACACGTCGCACTTTGGACGAAGTGCAAATCAATCGTCCGATTGAATTACAACGCGTTACCGCGTTTTTTCGACATTCAAACAATTTTTCCTCTCATCCGCTGATAAACTGCTTCATGCCATACAAATGCACCTATCAGCCCCTGGCGTGTATAATTCATAGAATCAAACTTGTCAAAAGGTATACGTATAATGTGTAGAGACGCGTCGCTCTCCCGTTAAATCATCGCCAGTCTCCTTCTTTGCGCGACGTTTCTGATTACAGCCAATCAAAATAAAATCTCGTTGAGTACAATTCTTGTATACAGTTGGTATAGCCGAGAGCTCGAGCTCCGAGAAAAAGCTAAAAACAATATCAATCAACCATCGCTTCCGACAGCTGTACTCGATGTCGGCAAAGCGCGTCCATTATAAGCTCGAATTCTCCGATATTTCTGCAACGGCTGCTGCAACTGTATATGTATATAACATATAGATCGGTAACAATGCGAGTAGGTATGTACCGTTGAAAACGCGAAAGCGCGCACTCCGTGTGTATATATAGCCTTCAGTTGCATCAGTAGACTATAATTGAGCCGCGGTCAGACGAGTGAAGAAGAAAGCGGTAGCCTAATGAAGAGTCCGAGAGGCCATTATATCTTACAATATCAGTATAGTGTATATTGCAGTATATCCATACGGGGGAGATTGTGCGCGACGCCAACGACATGTATTTATATACGTGATGTCCATTATGCGGTGCAATAGACCCACGGGGTGATCCAGGAAGCTTTAATTATATCCTCGACTGTATTTATATATAATATATATATGTGTGTGTGCGTATACGGACAGATTTTCTTTTCATCCGCTGCTTATCTCACCCTCTCGGCCTTAATTAGGTATAAGTACGCGGTAGTTCTCACACGACGGATTTTCCCTTTTAAAGGGACTTTATACGTGCGTGCGCACAAAATTTATGTACACTCGTACGCGCGTCCCTAGGGAAGGTACAAAAGTACGAGGAAGGAATAGATTAGACCCGATAATGGCACTCTTGCAAGTGTATAGTTACATGTTTTACGCGTATTAGGCGCAAAATGTCGAATTTTTTGCCTGTAGTGTAGCGTACGTTGTACCATTTGCACCTTGTACTGATCAATTGAGCCGATTAAAATATTGTATCGTGGTGTCGTTGTTGAGGCAGGTGAGACAAAAAAAAAGGAGAGTACAGTATATGGCAGGCTCAGAGATTATCCCGAAAGAAACATGTAGTTTTTGGTTGTTTTTTTTTTTTTTTCCTCCCTACCCATTGTCCAAGGGGTTGAACACTTATCCGTACACGTTGTGGACAGTAAACTATGATTTTTGATGCAGTTGAGTTTGTCCTATTGACAATGCTATAAACAAGTCGATCAGAAGCTGGTATAGATTCCATGGCACATTATTTCCTCTCTAGATTCGATAATCACGCATGTCCATGCATGAGCGACCAAATAAATGGCCCTGCGCCTAAAAGAGCGGGCCATAACGTATACGTGGGAGATTGCGCATCTTCCGATCTCATGGTGAAATAATAAGAAAAAAAAAAAAAAAAANCATTTTCAATCCGATGGACCATCGACACAGTACAAAAATAAAATTAATTTCTATCTACTGCATTTTTTCTGTAATAAACTAAATCTAACAAGCGCTACATGGAATTTTACAGCTGCTGGTCATGGCAAAAGTATAGCTGATGCGATTGGAGGTACTGTTAAAGAAATGTGTGATAGACATGTTACTTTTGGCCATGATATTTTATGTGCAAATGATATGGTACAATGCATAAATAATTCTAGCAGCAAAATAAATTCATTTTGTATCGATGAAGAAAAAATTAAAATGATTGATAGTCTTGTTCCCGAAGATTTAAAGCCAGTTCCAGCAACTTCAAAAGTTCATCAAGTTATGTGGTCCAAGTCTAACAGTAAAAGTTTGTCATTCAATTATTTATCGTGCTCTCATTGTAATATAGATACTGGTTGCGAACATTATAAGATTGATAGTGTAGTTACATATGATGCGAAAGAAATTGTAAATAATGATGCTAAAAGTAAGAATATTTCACCGTTTCAATCAACAAAAAATTTCAAAGTTGGAGAGTGGGTAGTAGTAATATACGACCAGTGGTACCCTGGTCAACTTGAAAAAATTAATAAAAATGCATTAATTGTTAGATTTTTAGAGAGAACAAAAAAAAATTTTCGTTGGCCAAAGAATAATGACGTTTACACTGTATTTCCAACACAAGTACTGTGCAAAATTGATGAGCCGATTCGTATATCAAAAAAAAATATATTTAAAATAAGTGAGCGAGATTATAATGAAATAACTGCTATGTCTAATTCATGCACAATTTATAATCCCTAGTAATTTATTATAACTTCAATACTTACTGTTAAGTTATGTGAGTTATTATAAGATAATAAATAATTAATCTAAAACTATATGGTAATATTTATTCAAACTTGAAAAAATTGGTAATTTTTTTTTTTTTATGTTTTAACCGAAAACTTGATAAATTCAAGCGTCTTTTTGTTAATTAAGTCCTGTTTAATCTAGTCAGGTTCCTCAAAAAAAGAAACTTATCGTGGTATAGTATAAAAACGACAAGCTGCTTTAAAAACGCAGTACAAGTCGCACGTATCATGTTCACTTAGTATTTTTGAAATATCAAGTATTATACCCTTCGGAGCCATAAAAAACACTGTGTCACAAAGCCCAAAGTACTTGTACACAATTTTTTCCTTGTTTCTGGAGGTATATACAGCAAGAAAAAATTTGGTTCAAAGGTGTGCCTCAAAAAAAAAAAAAATTTTTTTTCGCCCCGTAATTTTTAGATTATGTTGCTCGTTATATCGATATCTCGAAAAGTAATCGAGATATCGATTTG